ATAGACCTAGGAAGAATGATTCCATAGACCTAGGAAGAATGATTCCATAGACCTAGGAAGAATGATTCCAACTCATTTGGGTTACCTGGAAAACCAGCACATGCCTTCTCTTCTGCAGTAACATGTGATTGAAGAAATTCTGCAAAGGCCCCATTTCTCTGTAGAAGTTCTTGGTATGAACCAGTTTCTGAGATCATTCCATCCACCAGAAAAACAATGTTGTCCACTTGAGGCAAAATGTTGATTGTGTGAGTCACCAGCACACGAGTCTGCTTGAATCAAGAGGGAACAGTTACATATTTTCTGCAATTTATACCATGAATTAAATAGAGTTGCTCTAGCATCCCTTCTCATGTAACCACATCTATTATCCAGATTGATCAACAGCAGAGAAATACCAAGGAACAACAAAACACCACCATTGCAAAAGGAATGGAAGAGAAGTGTTTAAGGTGGATTTTAAGACTGAAGTTTAAGTGATAACAACTGTAAAGATGCCACTGAACTATTCAAAAGTGATGGGATTAGATGTTATGATGATACAATTTGCTAGAAGAGATCAGACATCTTCCTAACTATGCTAGAAGCAGTTCTCAAAAAGAGAGGAGGATCAAAGAACAGTAAACTTGCTGTAGAAGTAAGGCTGGAACTAGGCATGTGGTTTGCATGAGGATAAAGACAGTCTTACTCTTCCTTGGTGAGGTTCCCTGCAGGACTTGCAGGTGCTGTGTGGCCTGCAGAGGTCACCCATTCCACTGCTGCCACTACCAAAAAAGAGTTTGGGAGCCTTTGATAAAGTGAGTAACCCACCTTACTGGAAGCATTTCAGGGGCTCTGCTAATGAGATTCCCTGTGCAATTGTTTAGAGTTCAGGATTTATAACACACCTTGTCCTTCAGTAAACCATTGGGTCCAAGAACGTGTTCAAAAATGTGCTGTCTGACGTGGGCATCAACAGCTGAGAGGGGATCATCGAGGAGGTAAATCGAAGCCTTCTGGTACACAGCACGAGCAAGGTTCACTCTTTGCTTTTGCCCTCCAGACAGATTTATTCCCTGTAAAAACGTATTGACTCTGTTTATTCCACAGCTACAGCATATTTGTCAGTTGTTGACTCCATTTTGCACTGAGGCTTTATGACTCCCTTATTTTTAAACCAGTGCATCTCCCTCCCTCCAAACAGGGCTCTTGCAGAGGCAGAGTCTCCTGAGCAGCTCCACTCTCCTGTAAAAGAGCAGCCCAGAATGGCCTGGATTTGTTGATTTTTGTCTTTAACAACTCTCATGTCTCTGGTGAGGTTAACTGTCAGGAGGTGGGGTTAAATTAAATTAGATCATGGCCCGACTTTCTAGAAATTACTGAGCACCTGCCTCCTGCAAGTTTAATTTCTTTGTAGGTGTTTTAAGCAGGACACTGAAGTTGTAGCTACTCAAAGAAAAGTTGGCCAAAATATAAACCTAAGTATAAGTACCTTTTCTCCTATTTCACTCTTCTGCCCTGCAGGGAAGCTCTCCAAATCAGGGTGCAGTGCACAAGCATATATCACTCTATTGAACCATGTTTCATCCATCTCTTTCCCAAAGAGAATATTATCTTCCACTGAAGCATTTAGAACCCAAGCTTGCTGGGGGACATAAGCTGCAGTGTCCTATAGAAGTGGAACAATGTTAGTAATCTTTTCCATAAGCTCAACTTGACACTGTGGGAACCCATCTTTGCAAAAAAGCTCTCTGAGTTATAGAAGTCTGGAATGATCATCACCATTGATAGGTCTCAGAGGGCTTTGCAAAATATGAGACTGCACTGTTGTTATCTGACAGAGGAGGACACAGAGGTGCAAGTACATGATGAGATTTACCAGGATGACATTTCAGCTCACTGTCAGAGTGGGAAATAGAACTGGATCTTTGAAGCAATGTTTCAGCTCCTATTTCCAAAGTCTTCAGCACCTTCAGATAATTAAATGTGGACTGATATATACAGCCTTTTTTAAAATTCAGCAGTAAATGCATTGTCATCAAGTACCTGATGCCTTGGTTAATACCTTACAGTTCCTGAAAACAGCCTAATTAGAAGCAAATGCTCAGGGGAAAATTTACCTTCATGGTCACGGAGCCGTCCAGTTTCTCCAGCTCACCAAGTAATGCTGACAGCAAGGAGGACTTCCCAGCACCCACCTGGCCAACTACAGCAAGCAGAGAGCCTTGGGGCACAGTAAGATCTATCCTATGGAGAAAAGATTAGTTTCTTATCACATTTTAGGTACACTTTCTGAAGAGGAAATTATCAAAATTCTTGCTACTGTCTTGTAGCAATAAAAATGTACCCAAGTAAACCACCCTAATTTCATCCCTTCAAAGACACCTCCAACCAGAAAGTCTGATCCACATCCCCCTCTGAGTTTCAAACCCAGATCCAAAACCCAGATCCCCACTCTGGAGATAGGCTAACCCAAAGCATTGGATATAAAACATTCCTGAACATCAGTGCTGTTCAACAAGGTTTCTTCTCAAAAATGTCAATGCCTTTTGAAATAAGCATCTAGTGATGCCATATATAATACCTGCATACCATCTGTTCTACTTTTTTGACTTAAATTACTGTAATTTCACATTTGAACAAGAAAATTGTGTAAAGAAAACAGCCTCCATAGATTAAGGCAACATCCAGATACAGGCACCTTCCCATATATGTGCTCCCAAACAGAAAAACAAGATTATGTTTTGTCTGACTTTGTAATTTTCAGAATTCAACATTAAATATGAAGTGAACTCAGAAGCCTCTGGACATTCCTCACTGGCCCTACAGAGTTGAGAGATGACTAAGAGTAAGTCTGTACCTTCTAAGACAAGGAGAAGTTTCTTTGCTCCAGCAAAAAGTCCCATTTCTTATGGTGATACTTGCCTGTGCTAAAATATAAAGAGAAATACAATACCTGTAAATGCAAAAGGTGCTACAGAAACATCCCTATTTATATGATTTTATGTTTCAGTGTGTATATTACATAAAATGAGCCATAAGTATGAAAAAAGACATAAATTACCAGATTAGATTTTATTGGTAGAAATAAATAGGCCTGAGAGATAAAGTGACAGTAAGGGGCAAATATTTTTCTCTTGACTATGGTAAGCACCCTGAGTAGAAGCTGAACAATAGAAGTTACTCCTCTTTTAAGGTAACAGTGCTAACATAAAAGCTCACCACAGCCAGAAGTGCTTCTGCATGAGCTCTCAGGATTCAGTTGTCCCAGATTCAGAAAAGCTGCCAAGCGGTTTAAAGAAACTTTGGCCTGAAATGAAGCAGCACACAAAAGAAAATAGGATTTAGAGTAGAAAGGGAGCAAAAACCCAAAGATTCAACATGAAGAACACTTAGATCATCTCCTGTGTTGCAGGTGCTGTAGGCTTAGATGGCCAAATGCAGCTCTTCCTTATGTTAACTGCCTTTATTTCCACTTAGCTTAGCAAAAAACCTCATATCCTTCGTGGTGCTTTTGATTCAGTGAAAGGGGTGCTTTTTTCTCCTATTCATCCTGCAATCTTCCCAGTGATTGCTTCTGTACATGAAAAGCTGTGACAGCCTTAAAATGTAAGAGGGAAATGAATCTCCTTATATCTTACTGGACAATGATTTGCTTTTCTCTCTGGCCTGGGCTAGCAGGGTTTCCACTGATCCCCTGGGGAGATTTTGCTCCATCTATTCTGATTTGTGTGATTAAAAAAATAACCGGAAGCACCTCTGGGGTCTATTGGTGCTTGTGATGAGCTCCAAAAGACTTATGAGTAATTCTTGTTGACTATTTTGTCAGTAAAAGGAGTCTTTCTGAAAAACAATACGACAAAGTACATTTACTTGCAAGTGCTTTCATTTCACTGTTTCACAATAGCAATTCAATGGCTGATGTGCAAAGCCCTAAGGAATCTGTGTTTACCTGTTAATGGTGATATGTAAAAAAACCCCTTATGGCCAAAGGAAAAGGAACACAGCCTGCAATTAACCTGGACAGCAGCGTTGATGGAGAAGGGCAGGAAGGAGTGTGCAGTGTTGAGGATGTTGATCAGTGTTAGAGACACAAAGGCCTTCTGAGCATCCAGGATGTGTGTGTTATCCACCAGGGTGTAGACAGCAAACATGACAAATGCAATCTGAAAAGGAGCAAAGGGAAAGCCAGCCATTTGCTTCAGACAGGGAAGAGAATGGTTCAGGGGTGACAGGCCCCTTCCTAAAGACTCTGGAACCCGTTTAGTTAAATCCAGGCTACCACCTCTGGGCACAGTCCCCATTCTGCAGGGATCATGGCCAAAGGTCTTGCATATTGGTGACAGTATCAAGTTGATCATTTGACATTTCTGCATTAAGGAAGTTTTGGTGCTGCAGCCTCAGCAAGGTGAAAGCACAGCAATTTCCCACTGAAAACACACCTGGCTGAGCTGCAACAGCAAGTGCAAAAGTGGCTTGTGCAGCTACTGACTGTGCCATGAACTCTGTCTGGCTTGGAGGTCTCCCAGTGGATCCTGCAAAGCAGGCTCAGGCTGCCTGGAGCACAATGGCAGACCAGATGACCTGTCCATGGAACTGTTAGGACAGTGGAAATGTCTGTGTGGCTGATTCCACAGGGGCTCAGCAACTCCTGTGAGACCACCAACTCCTCCAGGCAGAAATAATCTTTAGTTTATCCCACAGGAGAAGCTTTTCCCACAGGAACATCTGTCCAGGGAGGAGTACAAAGAGAAATGGAAGTAATAGCACATGGTTTATGCAGGAAGGTGATCCACTCACCAGGAAAGTTGATGAATGGAAAGAAACTAGGGATGCTGAGAAGAGAATCTGAGATCTTTTTAAGGCCTGAAGTTCTTGCTTCCGGATCCCTAGCACTTTCTCCATGAAGGTGTTCTCCCAGCCATACAGTTTGATTACTTTAATGTCACTGAGAATGGCATTGGTGAGTTTGGCCCGCTCATCTTTATGTTTCATCTGGGTCTCCTGTAATAAATGTTCGTGTTATATCATTTAGTAGGTTGATAGTTTAACGGTGCAATTATTCTGAAAATATACCTTATTGCTGCATCTAAATTCTGAATAAATTTCCCTGCAGTTGAGCTGTGGGTACTGTTTTGCTTATGAATCTTCCAGGCTGGGAAATAGTCTGCTTTTCATCTTCAGAGCTTTATTTTTACTGGCAGTACATAAAAAACACAGAAAAGGTGGGCAAACATGGTAAAAGATTGAACATGCAAGAGCTTAGTCTGAATTCTAAGAAGCTTTGCAGGCTTCAAATCCTCCTATGTTCCTTCAGACAATCATGGTAAGCATGACTAATAAATATTAAGCCATCACAAATGTCAGTAAACAATTTCTCTTTTTATGATGCAAAATATACCTGAAACTGACTCCTCTTCTTGGTGATCACGAAATTCAGAGGCAGAAGAAAAAGGAATACAGCAATTGCAGTCAAGGCAGATGGCCCTAGAAGCTGCCAGTTGAGAAAAGGAAAGAGAAAGAATTTCTGGTGATGACTAGAAATTACTGTTTTCTGTTCCCCTTGCTTACCTTCCCTCTTACTTGAACTTATGCATAACATCCCTCATGGTTAAGGCTTTGCTCTAATCTTGCCTTTGCCTTTCCTGGGAATTGTGCTTCCCTAAGCGCTGTGGATTGTTAACCATCCAGGCAGGGTAGCTCCTGTCATCAGGCTCTGCTGAATTTATTTGCTTCCTTGTTAGGAACTAGATTAGTGCTGAAAGTGATCCAGCAGCACGCTGGCAATTCCAGCCATTCCTGTTTCCTCCCATGTCCTTGGATGCGTTAAGGAGGACATCTTGTGGCTGGCTTAAGTAAGTGATCCGAAACAATACCAGGTTTTGATTAAAAAACAAACCCAAACCCTCAACAAACTATTCTTGCAGCAAAAACAACCCTTCTTGTCTGAATTTACATCAACGGGTGAGATGAAATGGTGGCATTATCCTGTGCCACATACTCTAGGTACAACTCTTGGAAGTGTTCATAAAGACTTGTGTATCAAAACAGAGAATGTGTTTCTCAGTGGTTAGATCCATCTCTGCACAAGGCTGGAGAGGTGAGTGGTGGTCTACACAGAGAGGTAAAAGTACTGTCTACACAAATAGTCTATGATCAGTAGCAAACAACAGTGTTAATTATTCTCCAACTACAGGAGACCACATTCAGCTTTTCAACATCACTAGGAAAGGGATGATGGCTTTTCAACAGCCTTCACCATGGCCACTAGTTTTCCAAGGTCATAGTATCCTGCTAGGCACGAGGCACAGTCCATCCTGGATAGCAAAGGAAGGTCTCAAAGGCCATGGAAAGCTCCTGGGAATCAGCTGTGTGCATGGTGCTCTTAATTCCAATTGGTGTATGGCCAAAAACAGGGACTAAGAAATAGGGCTTTATACTGCTGAGAAAATATCATAACACTGATTAAAAATTGATCTTTTAGATTATCATCCATTATTCCTAATTCAGGTTTTGCTCTCCCCTTGCTGAACTCCTTGATACCTATGAAATTCAGTGTATCCAATACTCTTTTTGAATGTAACAGAAGTAATGTAACTGTGCTTCACGCTGTGGTACCAGTCTTGTGGTAATCAGGCTTCAGCATGAAGTATGTCAAGTTGCTGTTTCAGACCATTCCCCCTTATGTTCTGGACTATGCCGAGGAGCTGGAACTGGACTTTCAGCCTGCACTGGGACACCATCTTCTGGTTGAAAAGTAAGGTGACAGAGGAAAATTTGGGGCAGAAGTTTATCGGTCTGCTCAGAATAACCATACTCACAGTCTTTTCCTTAAAACAGGCTGAATACACAGGCTAGAAGGTTAAGTGAAGGACTGGGTAAGGATTCTATACCAATAAAAGCATCTTCCAGAAAGAAAAGTGAATGCACTATGCTATGGAGCTAAGAAAAATATGGCAACTTCAGGTTACTCCAACCGGTAAAGCTCTGAGTAGAATTTTGAAAACCCCTTTTTTCTTGGATATGTAGAATAGAAAGGGATTGATAAGTACTGTCATATTTTACCTGCCACAAGAACACAAAGCAGATGATAATCCTAATAGGAGCAAGCCAGGTCCCATTAAAATAGATAATCAGATCCATTAGCTTTTGGACATCAACAGATACCAGATTAACAATTTCACCTATGGTTGCTGCTTTCCTTGAGGCATTTGACATAAGTAGGATCTAGACAGGGTAAAGAGGAAAGAAAAGATATCATCAAACAACAACTTTGGTCCAGAAGTCAAACAACTTTCTTTTCCTTATAAAGAAAGAGAACAAATAGAGGAAGGAAGATGTCAAAGCCTAGGTATTGAAGCCATGCTGCTGCTGCATATGACTTCACTTTAAGATGAAGCATTTACTCCTTTCCCTAACCATCATCTACAGCATAAGAAACTTTATGTTGAATTTTGCTCTTTCCTTTTCTTGGCTTTTTCTTCAGAGGTAATTATAAAGTACCTCCCATCTACTGTCCAGAGATGAATATAGCACAGAGTGACATCCTGATATTGCTAGAAACATTGTACCAACAATGGTGTGACTACTAATGTAGGGCTAGAAAAAAAAAAAAGAAACTAAAAAGGAAGCTACAGACTCACCTTCCTGTACACAAGCCCTGTTACTGCAGTTCTCAGTCTCAACCCCAGAACAAGACACATGTACATGTAGCGTTGCTCAAACAGAGTCTGGAGACAAGCCAAAAGGAACATAGTGAAGGCATAGAAATAGCCAAGCCAGCTGGGGGCTTCTGGATCTTCAATGAACTTCAGGAAAAGGCTGCAAGACAGGGGCAAAATGTTGCTGAATCCATGTAGGGCTGATGAAATATCAGACACATAAAAACAACCTGGCAGAAATAGCAGTGATTTTTCTGTATTCTCTCTGAGAGGTTTATCAGTAAAATAGCAGAAGAACTGGAAAAAAACTGCTGAGTAACCTAGATCATATAATATCCTGATTTTTGACATTTAGCCACTCTTGGTTTTGAAACAATGTCTGATCTCAGCATCTTCTCAGGGGAGGCCTCACTTTCAGTGTTATGGATGGCTCCTGAATTTTATGACTTTGTCAGAAACATGCAAAGTGGTAGCTGTAATCTAAGGAAGTCATTGACATTTCCAGAACTTCTCTTAATTTTAATGATTAAGAAGGGATTTTGCCCTTAAAAATATACTGTAGTGAAGGTTTATATTGTACCAATACAATCCACAAAGCATTATGCCAACTGACCAACAAAGCTTCTTAAGATGTGTAGGATGCACAGTTGTGCTCTTTGTAATTAGTCAGGGAACACAGAGCCTTCAGACTACAGCAAGGGGCTGACAGCCTTGTGCAAATGATGTGATACATAGAACCATCAAATAACTCCTGTTCTAGTAAAGTTGTCACATGGTTTACTGCATCCTGTCCTTTCCACTGTTGGAATACAGCAGTGGAGACAGTGGTTTGGTGACTTCTCCTCCTGAGTTGACAGTGGGCTAAGCTCAAATGACAATTCAGCTCTTTTCATCAGCTACAAGAGATTTCAAAAGGCAAGTGTGTGCATGCCCACCTCTGTGAGTGCTGGCATACACACCTATGAGCTCATGAACACAACAATCTTGTACACATTATAAATATGCACATACCTCAGTAACTTTGGGATGGAGAACATGAAGACATCACAGATAACTAAGCAGACAGTGCTGAGGAGGAAATAGGTTCCAAACATGCTCCAAAACATTTTCAGTAAGGACCCGCTCTCACTGTGCTTTGATTGCAGCAGAGCCTCTGTCTCTTCAGCTTCTGCTATGCCAGTTTCAGTCTTCTGACCCTTTTTAAATGTAGCAGACTCCCTTTCTCTGAAGAAAGTAACAATGAGAAAGCTAGCTACAGTTGTAGAAAGCTTGGGAATATTGTGCTTCCAAAAAAACATTAAATATCTTACGCCAGCTCTCATACCATGTTCAATATAAATGCTCATCAAAAAGTGACCCTTCTCACAAAAAAAAATTAGTTCTGTGCTTCCAGGAATGGCAGGATGTTCTCCAGCAATTTTTAACACTTAAAATCAGATTTTGCACAAAGGAACTCACACACCAACACCCGTGAGTGTATTTGCTAGATCACCTAGACCTACCCAGCTGAGCCCATGATGTGCTCTCTAGATCAAGTACTCACTGCTGGGTTCTGCTGTGACACTTCTTCCACTCTCTTTCTGCCCAGGCAACAATTTCTTCAGAAGAGTCCTCTTTCCTCACTGGCCACAAGTCATCCACACCCAAGGACTGCTGAGAGCCTTTCCAGAGAAGCCTGGAGAACACACAGACTACAGTCAGGTGAATGCAGAAGGTTTTGTGGTGCATGTAACACTTCCAAAACAGATGGACATTAAGTTAGTGCACCACAGTGAGCACGTGGGGACTAACTTGCATTACAACACTACTTGGGACTGTCCTGTCCCAGAATAAACATGAATGTTCAAACCCCTGGAGAAAGAATTTAAATCCTCGCTCCATAAGCTAACTCAGGAGCTGAGATATTTCCTGCTGGCTGCCCTCTACACCATCTCTTATGCTGCTGGGTTTTTTTCTGATATTCTAGCAAAACCACATCTTCTGTGTTTTCTTACCCAGAGAACCACCAGTATGTGATTTTGGAAAGAAAAGAGCTTCTGGCTTCTGGACAGTGATTCTGATGGGAGAGAAAACGTGTGATATTTATATATAGAAAAGTGCATGTGTCAGATGAATATAATTCCCTTCTGTGCTCCCCCAGGAAAAGCAATCAAAGAGTTACCCCCACCCCTCAATTCACTGACCCAGACAGAGCAAGTGTATTGTGGAGGATCAATGGGATTGGGAGATTTTGGAGAATTTGACTTTGAATAACTTCTCAGACAGAAGAAAAAAGAATATAATTCTTCATACCCAGAGACGTTTATTTTCTTAAGCACAGAAATTTGTCATACCCATACCACCAGGTACTGCTGCACAGGAGAGCAGCAACAGGGGAAGCAATAGGAGCCCTGTCTGCTGGTTTCAATGACAAGAAACATGAGTATGGATAAAAAGGTTTGTAGTTTTGAAAAACATACATAGAGAGATAGAGTACTGTTATCCCAAATTCTGCCAGTTACCTTTTATAACCATACGGAATGATGCATCTGACATCACCCAGATACTCGTGTTCCTGTGTGTCCCCATAAATTTAAAATCCTGTTTCAGCAATGAAGCAGTGCATTAGGAAAAACCATGTTGTACTTACAGGATTGTTGACATCTTTAGAGAAGAAGGGAGGGTGATCAACTAAGCAGAATAACACAAGTTCTCCTAGCACCAGGCTGGCATAAAGGAAAGCTGTAACATGGTGGAAATGGTCCTCCAAGAAGGCCTAAGAAACAGAATACTGGTGAGAATGAGGAAATGAACCATCATGTTAAATCAGCAAAGAAAGGTGGCTTCTCATGTTCTACCAGCCATAAGCTCTGGGTTTTGGTTTGAAGCATGAGGTGCATTTATTTAAGCTGTAGTTGTGTAGAGCTAAATAGATAACTCCTGAAACTGGAAGATCAGAAAATGCTAAATAAGACACATTTATTATTCATAGTGACAGTTTTATTGCGAGGATTCATAGTACTCTAGTCAAGTCAGATGCCCACATTCCATCATTTTTCAGGGAACTTTGAATGCTCTGAGGGATAGAAGCTCCTTGCTCACCCAGTGGGGTGAGTTGTTGATATAATAAAGCACTTGCTAAGTTTTACTATAAATGTTGTGTCTAAGGGGCTCCATGAAGGGTTCTTTAATTCATTTTGTGAATGAGAAAGAGAAAAAAACAATGGAAAAGTCTAAATATTTTTGGAACAGTATATTGGTAGCAAGAAGTTGCCAAGTGTTATATCAACAAGCAGCCTTGTGCCTTCAACACAGCAGGAACAAGCAAGTTCCCGGCTGTATTTTGTTTCATGGCTGCATATTTTTCCCCTGTTACTTAAAACACACAGGTAACAAACTTTTGTTTATTCCTTGTTGTGGCTGAAAAGAAGCCTGTTCATCTGAGGAAAATGGCCACTAACAGTAAGTCTCAGATGTGCCAGCAAGCACTCTGCTGCAAATAAACATCCAAATAAACGAATATATAGTGTCAGGAATCATTTTTCTCAGCACATATTTTAAGAGAGGAATTTTGTTCTCCCCCTTGCAACAATGAGACAAAACCAGCCCTGCTGTTTAGAGACTTCATACCCTTGCACATTGAAAATACGTGATTTCACTTACTCTTTCCAGGGCATGTTGAATTTTGAAACTAAACATCACAACTGCAGCCACAAATGAGAGCAGCCAGTAAATCAACAGGACCCCTGAAGACTGGATGCCCATCATTCTTTCTGCCTGGGTAAGGAACATGGCAAGGATCTGTGAGGAAGTACAAATTTGTCCAAATAAATACCCAGTAATGGAATGCCAACCATTATTATCAAGTTAATGAGTACAATAGAAAAAAGATCAGTTTTTTGAAGTCCAAACACTTCAAGATGTTCAGAGCTGTAGTAGCTGTAGTATTGTTCCTAAAAGGCTAAAACCAAACAGCATTATGTGCAATTTTGCACTCAAGAATGTCTCTGCAGAAAGGGCAAATAATAAAACTACAAGTGGGCCAACAGGCAAGATCTGCTCTGCCCACAGGGCTCTGTACTGTAGGTGTAGCTCCAGTGGTCTGCCCCGACTCCAAAGCCATGGCTTGTGGGCCTTCTATTCCCCATCAGCCAAATTTGTGCTCAGAGATACTGAGAAACGTGGGAAATACGAGATCTGTCCCAGGAGGGCTAAGCTTGGCCACGTGCAGACAGACAAGGGAGGAATTACCATTGTGATTCCCATCACAGCAGGACTGATGAAGAACTCTGGAGCCCGTGGGATTCCTTGGCTTATCTCCCACAGCATGAAGAAAACATTAGTAAAACACAGCATCACCAGAATGAATCCAAGGACCATTTTGGTTTTGAAGATGCGGGACATCCTGATATAGCCCCTGTTCCTGTGTCGAAGATACAGGTAGTAGAAAGGAAAACAGATCCAAAGATAGGCACAAGGGATCCAGGTGATGACTGAGCTCTCAAAGCACCAGGTAAATCCTGAGGTGTTTGTATGCCACGTCTGATTCCACTCCTGTCACAGAAACAACACAGAAGTGAAACAGTAAAGCAAATGTACACAGAATTTCACAGCTAATGCAAGTTCCTAGTGCTACAGCTGAGATCTACTATGTTAGTGGAATTTGATTTAGGGTTTCAAATGTAAAAAACATTTGGCAACAGAGACAAACTCAGCTATAGCAGTTTGGAGGGAATTGAAGTAGAAAGGCAGAATGAAAAAAAGATTGCAAAAGTGAAAGATGCCGAAAAAAGGACATGTATCACAACTAGAGAGAAAAGAAAGGTAAGTTAATGGAAATGGAATGAGAAAAGGTAATTTGGGAATTAAACAGATGATCAGCATTTGGGAACCATCATAATAAACAACAGGAAATGACCAGGGAAATGGAGATTAGGAGGGAAAAAGTGTCCTAGTGCACGAACTGCATTTCCTCAGCTGTTTGTACAAACCTTTTGTGACTTTTTGACTGAACAAATATTGGATCTCATCTGGCAACTGTACATAAATGGGTAAGGTTATTTTTTCCTTCAGCTTGCAGAGCAAGGCTGAGGAAAGGAATCACCATGATGAAAAGAGGAAACAGATAATGGCTCACAAATTATTATGGGAGTTTATCAATCTTGGGGATGGAAAATCGTGAGAGTCCGGACTGATAAAATTAGAGCCCTTTTAAAGGTATTTCTGTGGTGGGTCCTTCAGCGGAAACTTCCCCAAGACTCATTCCAACATCCTTCCAGCAGCGCAGCACACGCAACTCATCAAATTCACTGTAACTGAGAACAACTTGGGCTGTTCTGTTTGGGTGAAAACTTGTCCCTGGGAAGCAAAGTCCGCACGCAGGGGAACACACTTCATCGCTCGCACTTCACACCCCCCGCAGCGGGGCCCGGGGCTCTCCCGGGGAGCCGCACTCGGGGCCGGGCTCTCCCGGGGTCCCCGGCGGAGGGGCCGCGGTCACTCGGTCACTCACCCGGGGCCCGGCGGGGCCCTCCCCGGGCCCCCACAGCGTATCGCCCGCACCCATCGCCCGCGGCCCGGCCCGGCACCCTCCGCCCGCTGCCCTGAGGGACGGGACGGGCGTTCCCTCCTCGCCGGGCAGCGCCCAGAGTCCCGTTCCCGGTGTGCGAGCGGTGCCGGGAGCCCCGGAGCGCCCGGTCCGTCCCGGCTGCGGGCAAAGTCCGGCCGGGGGCAGGTCTGGGCTGTGCAGGGCGGCAGCCACGGCACCAGCGAGGCGGAGCCCCCGGGGCTGCCGGCTTTGGGAGCTCTCTAAGCACACGGGGTCTGGTTTGGAGAAGAGACGTTGTTTATTCTGCGCAGGGTGGAGGTTCCCGCAAATCAAGCGCGCCAAGCGGTAAAAAAAGAATTACATCTTTTATACGGTAAAATTTACATTACATGCACCCGCCTAATAAATATTCTCCGCCTACACAATGCATATTTATTTGTGTGACGTAATCTCGCGCAATGCTTGAAACGCGAAGTTCTTTATTAAGCAGCTTCTGTTTCAGCAGTTATCTGACTTTAGCTATGTTCACAATACATGAGAAACTTCAGCTCGAAGACACCAATTCCTTTCGCAGAAGTTACCTGACGACACCAGTTACGTTTACAAAACGTGCGAAGATTCAGCCTGGGGCACAGATAATCCATCCTGAAGCCATCCCCGGCAGTGGGATGGGGCTGGGGGGTGTCCAGCGGGGCATCCCTGGGGAGCGGCCCCGGGGGCGGCCGCAGCCCTCCGGGCCGGCAGGGGGCGCCCCCACGGGATCGGCCCTTCCGGCCGCGCGGCGGCGGCGCTGACTCAGGGCGGCGGGGCCGGGAGGGGCCGGCGGCGGGGCCGGGGCTGGCGGTGCCCGTGAGGCGCCGGCAGAGCTTCGGGGCCATGCGGGGCCGGGCCGCGGCCGCCCTGCTCTGCGCGCTGTGCTGCGCCCTGGCGCGGGGCTCCGAGGACATCGTCGTGGGCTGCGGCGGCTTCGTCAAGTCCGACGTGGAGATCAACTACTCGCTGATCGAGGTGGGCGCCGCCGGCCCCGGCTGCCCCCGGCCGCCCCCCCCGAGCGCTCCCGCGTGGGCCGCGGGCACGGTGCCGGTGCTGCGACCTGGGGCCGGTGGGACTGCGGGTCTCCTTCCCTCGGGCCCGGGCTCGCCGTGAACCTCGTCCTGCTGCCCCCGGGCGCGGCGGGTGCTGCTCTGTGAGAGCACCTGGTTAGACAGTGCATGGTTCCAGCCTTCCTAGCGTTGTTTTAAAGCACCCTTGTTGTGTTTGCTTCTTTTAGATTAAGTTGTATACAAAACACGGTACTCTGAAATACCAGACAGACTGTGCTCCGAACAACGGGTATTTCATGATTCCCCTCTATGACAAGGTAAGACGCTGCACCACCTGCGCTGTCCCCTCTGTGCTGGGGGCAGGAGCTGCCCCCGCCTCCCCATCTACCGCCAGGATAAACGTCAGAACAACACCCTTCCCGTGAAACCTCCGAATCAGGACATGATTTAGTGTGGTTTGGACCAAGCTTTCAACTGTTTCTTTCTGTAAGGCAACTACTTTATTTCTCAGTGCTAATTATGCTGAGCAAAGCCAGGTAGCTGTAGCTGCGGTGTGGCATTTGTGCTGTTTATTGGAATGACTGCAGCACTGGGAGCTGTAGTTACTGCCAACAGCTGTGTGCTGCAGCTGTACAAATACTGCACAGAAAGTACAGGTTACTGCAGAGTACAGCTAAAGCTTTCTGTTTTCTGCCTATAGAAATGGAAAGAGATGTGTATGAGAAGGTGTTTTGATACAACTGAATTGAAAATAACTTGAATGACTAACTGCAGATATTAAAAATGTCTTAAGGAAATAATGGTACAGGAAGCTCAGAATGTATCAGAAGTCTGATGTCTATTAGACTGGAAAGATGTTTACATTCAAAATAATTACAAGCTGCCCTCAGTCGAAGTGGTTTGCTCTTTTAAAGAGCTGGTTAACTTAGGGATCAGAAGTAGAATCATAGAATGGTTTGGTTTGGAAGGGATCTTTAAGGATCATCTAGCTCAACCTCCAAATAATTCCTTCCCTTCCCAATCTAAGAATGTAAGATGCTTTCTGGTCTTAGTGGTTTCATTCTTAGGTCTTTGAACCTTTCCATTCTGAACTTCAGAATATGTGTGGCAGAACATGTTTGGTGGCCACTATAAAGAGGATCCCTGTGCAGATTAATACCCTTTTGGAGCAGAGCTTTTAATAGGATTGAAGTTTTGTTGTCTCATGTTTGGGCAGAATGGTTGAGTTGGATCTCCTAGTGGAAATACTAAAGGCTAATTTAGAACCCATCTGTTGGGCAGGTAGAGATAGATTTGAACACTTTCTAGCACTGAGCTGCTTGAATGTGAGCCAGGTTTGTTCTTGAAGTGGTATAAACACAGTGATATTAATTTTTGCTCTTAGCTGGCTGGATGTGAGCCCAGCATCCCGGCCTATCTGGGTAGATTTTGCTGCTTTTTTGAACAGAGTATCTGAAGTAGGAGGGAAGGAGAATGGTACACTTGAGTTTTGTGTTCCTCTCTGCAGCGTGATGCTTGTGTTATTACTCTTTTTTTCATAGTTTAGCTAAATTGAATTTAGATCAATGAAGACAGTTATTGCTTTTTATTTTTTAGGGGGATTTCATTCTTAAAATTGAGCCTCCTCTAGGGTGGAGTTTCGGTAAGTGCTTATTTGTCTTCTTACAATAGGACAGCGTATCTGCAGTGTGGGACTTTTCTCTAACTTGCAGTTGGCAGTGAAAATCAAGTGCTTTTCAGAACAGATGAGCCATACTGTGTGGTCTTAATAACTGAAATGCACTTACTGTACCAGAGGAAAATAGAGCTATATGGTAGACACTGACAAAGTAACCCTTGAACTGATTTGAAGGAATGTGTGTTTTTGACAGAAATGGCTGCAGCGGGAGGGGGGATAGATGATTTTCAGCCTCAGGATTTGGGGATATTTAAACTTTGCTGAGGCAAGACTCCCAGAGCAACACTTGCATGCTTGGACTCATACATTTCTGTGACAGTTTTGTAAAGCTAAAGCAGAATTTCTTCATGATTGCTTTCTCACTAACTACCATGCTGTTTCATCGTTCTTCTGTTCCAGAACCAACCAGCGTAGACATCCATGTGGATGGCATTAATGACATTTGCACAAAGGGAGGTGATATTAACTTCGTGTTCACAGGGTTTTCTGTGAATGGAAAGGTTAGACTCCCTTATCTTTATTTATTCCATCTTGCACTAATTCAACTTTCGTAAAAAACATTCTGCTTCAGCTCTACAAGGTATTTTTTTCCATTTATACTCTGGTTTCTTTTTATTTTGACAGGTTCTCAGCAAAGGTCAGACATTAGGTCCTGCTGGAGTTCAGGTTGCACTGAGAAATGCTGGCAGTGACATAAACATACAAGCAACTATTACACAACCTGGAGGAAAGTGAGTGTGGGTGGTGCATACTTAATTAATCTGTTCATTTACACAAGATTCTTTCAATTCTGTCACAACAACTGGGATTGTAATAGTTCTGAAATACTTTTTCTAATATGTGTCTGAATTGTTTTTCTGTAAATACACATTTGTGACTGTTTCTGAAGAGACATAACCCCTTTCTTGCCTTGCAGGTTTGCTTTCTTTAAAGTGCTTCCTGGCGAATATGAAATCTTTGCATCGCATCCCACCTGGATGTTGAAAGAGGTTAGAGCCTACAAAAGTTCTGTTTTGCCTGTTTAGGGAGGGTGGATCTGCTTGTCCTGATCAATTAGTGTGAGGAAGGGTTTTTGTGAGTGGACCAGGTCAATGGAGTTTTCATACATTTAATTCAGGTAGTCAAGAAACTGCCCTGTGCAGACCCAGGTTGGAGGTAGTGAAGCCAGCCGGGGTAGGACTGGGAAATGAGTTCTTGCTTTCTGTCTTCTGATCCTGTACGTTTTGCAAGAGCTTGAATATTGTAGCAGATGCTCTAATCCTTTCCTCTCAGACTGCTCACTTCCTGAGGAGCTCTGAGATCCTGACCATTTCCTGAATCAGTAAAGCGGGAAAAATACCATTTTGCAAAGTGTCTTTGCTTTAGTGTCTTTGTGTTTTGATAGCCTGTGGATACTCTTTGAGTACTGCTGCTCTGGGCTCTGTTTCTGTTGTTGAATACACAGGGTCTGACTATTATTTAGGTGCTGTGAGACCTAATGTTTCTGTTTTTCAGGCAAAGACAGTGGTCCGGGTGACGAGTTCCAATGCTTATGCTGCCAGCCCCCTGATTGTCGCAGGCTACAACGTGTCTGGGTCTGTGAGGAGCGATGGAGAACCCATGAAAGGGGTCATGTTTCTGCTTTTCTCTTCTTCAGTCACTAAGGAGGTAATGGTCTATCAGTACCTTTTCAATATGAACACAGATAAGAAGCAGCTAAATAGCTTCTAGATTCATATTGCCCTGATACTTATCTCTGTCCTTCACTGAGCTTGGCTTATAGAAAACATAAACTGTACAGCCCCTCAAGCTGTATTTTTGTGCTTGGGTTTTTTTGCATGGTTTTTTTTTTATCTTTTTCCCCAACAAGGCCCTTTTAATACAATATTTTTATACATGCCAAGTTTCTTCTGACCTCCATGGAACTACTCAGATGTGTAACACAATAACCATCTTTTAAATGTTGGCAAAATTGAGGCTTAAGGTCTACATGTTTTTTTGGACACAAGAAATTAGAAGATTCTTTTAATGTCGACTCTTTTGACCTCTTTATTATTGTTTTCACACAGCCAGGTTCCTCAACAATCAGGCTATTCAGGGACATAGAACACTAAGACCTGAACTGAAGCAGGCAACAAGTGCAAAATATAGTATGGCTCACAGCATGTTATCGATATGTATATTCCCTGTGGGTCAGCAAGGTTCAGGGTTACAGTTTTAAGATATTATTTTTCCAATATTACACCTTTTTGCACATTAAATATTGGTTAGTAAATGTGTTCTCTCATGAGGATGATACTTCTCCGTGGTAGAAGACCAGCATCCTGCACAAGGC